AAAGGAAATCGACTAGAGTTAGACAAAAGGCTGAGTATACTGTATTTGCATTCCATTTTTAATTCACTATTCGTCAAATATAATACTTTGAAATATTTTTGTCTAATGTAATTCAATCCATTAGACTGATTATAAATAGCCATACAAGCAAGCATACACTAGAGATAGTGCAACTGTACACACACATACACATACATTAACTAACGGAAAACGAAACGGATCACCCCTTTATATTGGGTTTCAGATTTTTCACAGAGGTTGACTATTCCGAAGTCTACGTGAGAAAGCCAGGACCAAAAAAGTGTTCTGAATAAAAAATCCAATTTTGAGTAAACTAATTTTATCTACCTGGGTGACTTAATTGGGCCACTTTCATTCCACCTGGTTCCCTGAACAGAATTTCTTTAGCTGCAGTCAGTATGTTAATTACATTTTAGGATGCAGGTACACTGCAACTTGCAAAAATAAGGATAACTTGAGCTAATTAACAAAATGTATAAGTAGTTCTTATTCAACATCGAACAACAAGCACCAGTCACCATCAATGGGATAAACATAAAGAAAGTAGTCTCTTCCACCTACCTTCTTACGCAGCATAGTTTCAACTTCAGGCGGCGGCACAGACGAGGATGTCAAAATCGGGATCGAAAAAGCAAGACAGACTTTTACTAATCTGAAATCAATGTGGAGATCTGCTGCACTCAGCACAATGCCTGAACAAGATCCGGATTTTAAACATCAATTTCAAGTCAGTGCCGCTATATGGTTCAGGAACTTGACGTGTCACAAAAAGCATTTTCAGCAAACTACAGACATTCATCAACAGCTGCCTACACTGTCTCGTTACTGAAGCTCAGATGGCCAGAAGGAATAAGCAACAAAGAACTCACTCAGGTCGGGTAACGAACTAACCAAGAAACCACCGACCAACAAATATGTAGAAGAGAGTGGAGAGTTGGGCATCCGATTTGAGGGTGACATGGAAGAGATCATGTGAGGAAGAAATGAAAGCTTGTGGGCAGTCGTAGCGCCAGGTTGAAAAGACTGCAGAGAACAGACTGAAGTGGCAGCGTGTTACTGAAGCCGTATGTTCCACTAGGAACCCAAGGGAAAAAATAACAATTTTGTTCAACATTAGTTTTATCGCCATATATGCCATCTTGATTAGTGCGAAAAGGCAAGAGAACTAAGTCAAGTACGGCTTAATACCAAGCGATTTCTGAATTTCCACACCAAAATAAGATTACTTTAAGGGTCATTATTTAACCCCGTGTAATATTTTAAAGCTAAAAATAGGTGTCTATAATGGTGACGTGAGGTATAATTAGACGACAACGTGTGTGAAAAAAATGCTTAGTAAACTCTAAAACGTTTCATGCTAAAACTGTAGCACAAACTATGCAGTCACCAGCCACGGCTGGTGAATTCTCTCCATGAATCAGTCACTGAAGCAGTACTGGACTAATATGCTTTTATTGGATGTGTTCATCAGCCAATAAATGAAGTAAAACCAAACTTTCCCTTCAAATGTTAAACTGTATTCATGAAGATAAAGGGAGAGAAATGAATTAGGTTGCATATCATAATGAATTGTTTAAGTTAACTCAGCTTTTCGACTAATATTGTTTATACCTTTCCCTGACAATCTTCGGAATATAAGATAAACGAATCAGATTTACGCTCCGAAAGCGATAACATATTCCGTCTATTATCTCATGGTTTAACGTCCTTTCAAAAAAGGTTAACTTGTAGTCACGATGTGCTTATATATAATCCTTTATTTTATTTTAACTAAACATAATTTCAATTTAATGTCATAGTTATCATCATAGAGTGATAACTTGGAGGTAATCATTGTGTTGTTTTAATCCCTGATGATGACTGGAGAATACTGAACAAGTCTGAAGTGTGACGAATTGGGTAAATGAAATAGTTATTACGAAATGCATTTTATTTGCAGGTAGAATTAGAAATTATTTCCTAGTTGACCGGCGTTCGGCATCGCAAATATATTGCAAGGCTACAGTTGTATTTTTCGTGTTCTTTACACTTTGAGACCATTTAGTGTAGGCGAGAACTATATGCTGTACCAGAAACTGGAAGTTAAAACTAGCTCCACGACCGTAATTGTAAAGATTTAATTTAGTTTTTCTAAAAGACTTATTTTTCATTAAATTGGAGCTACACTTTCCCTCCTTTCAATATTTTTAAATTAATATAATATAAATAATTTATCACCTGATGATTTTTTATGTTTGTATATCTCTTCGTTTGCTCTTGATAAGACAGGTGAATAACTTATGTCTGGTGATCACAGCCTTAACTGTCACCAGCAAATGCCGAGAAATTCGGTCAACGCTTTCAATTATTAGCATCTCACTATTACGTGCATTTCGTTTCCATGCTTCATTAGGAGGCCACTAATATTGAAAACTATTTTACCATGAGGCACAGCTTTAAAGCCAAACTTAGTTTCTCTTTATAGTTGTGTTCGTTTATTATGGGAATCAACTATTCATTAGACGGCGAATTTCTCCATATTTTCTTTACTTTTCAAAGCTTTTACTTAGCTTCATTCGCACTCTACTGTTCAGCAAGATAATACGTGAAATTTTCACAAGTCGTAGAACAAAAACAAATAAAGTAGGGCTGTACTTCTATGGTGAATAAAATCGCCGCAAAGAAGGCTTAATTAATCATATTAGGTTTCCTGGCTTCTTGAGATTCTCCTGTGCACCATTTTAGAAGCAATAATGCAATTGAATAATGATTGAAACTAAACTAAAAACCAAATCTATGGCAGAAGCGAAGCAATCGATCTACGGGCTATTTTAAAAGTTGCTGTGTCAGCGATGGGACTCAAAGTACCGTAAATGTTTATTATTTCAAAATAATTTAAGTGAAGGTCAACATGTGTGACAATAAGAGCAAAAGCCATGAATTCAGTGTAGAAATAAATTGGGACTTTTGAGATTGTAGAACAAACCTGACTAGGAATTACAAAACTTTGCTGATATGATTATTGTGATAGATTGTTAACTGTTTCGAATCTATTCACTGTGTTAAACAGTAAAAAGCTAGGTATCTAACTGTTTTTAAAAATGAAAAAATGAAATTATTGATAGATAAGTAACACTATTCTGACTGGTTGTATTCGATATCTTTGAAATATGAGAAAAACAAAGCACTCAGTGGAGCTAAGTTGCTCGGGATGTTGAAAATTTTCATTCCTTTGAATCTTTGATCTAGCCACCTTAACGCGTTGTCTAACTACCAATGAAGATATGATGACCAAATATTAATCTTAAAGGTGTGAATTATTTTTGTATTGCAGTCTACATAGTACATTAGGTGCACTATAACTGGTTAGCTGATTGTTAAAAGCGGCTTAATAGGTCTGCGGGTATCACAGTCAGAAATTTCTATGCCACAGAGGTTCAAGCACGGATAAGAAATCTACATGTCTAACTAAAATACACTGTGAAATGGATTTTCGTCAACGTAAACACCAAGTTTTAATGAAACATAGTACAGGAAGTTGATGTGCCCCGTAATGTAACCTGAGTAGGAGTGAATAATGCGTCATTCATGTCAAACAGCTTCAATAAAATTATTGTTGTAACGGTCAGAATCGGTTCACCGTCACTGATCTAAAAGCACAACGTTTACTGAAGTAAGTCTTCCATAACTGAAATATCAATATAGTCTAGCTAAACGTCAGTCAACGTAGGGAAATCTATTCAGTGCAAGTAGTTATAATGCTTCTGAATTTTTTTTGGTATCAGATACCTCTAAAAGCTATTCAGGCCCTTAAATAAGGTAGTTCAGAATTCCTGTCAACATCTCTCCCACACGTTTTTGATCTTTCTGACACTCAAATCTGACCTCTTAATGTTTCATACCAGTCACCTCATGAGGTTTATATACCTTTTGCAATAGATCACTACCATTTTCAAAGGATAATATTTCCGTAATGTGTTAAACATTTTCACATACTCCAATTTATGGCAATATGAAACGTTTTTTGTTCCTATAAATTGTAAAACATTGTGTGTGATGTTCCATCCACCAAGATCTTATTTTGATACATACAATTTATGACATCAGTCTATTCAAATCTTTGCTGAATCTTTCCAGTAAAGTAAGAAATGTATCTCAGATGATTATTCGCATAAGCAAGTGACTGAATATGTATAATGGTAAGATGATTTAATTTTTATAAGCAAGCTTACCAAAGCACCTAATGTGTTGTTGATGTTAAGACTAGTGTAAAGCGTGAAAATGTGACTGTTGATGTGTCACTTATTTAATAGATAATAATAGAAGAAAGTAGATTCTAATCACTGATGAATGGTTTCCGAAAAATGACTCTCAAGCATTTTCATTTCCCTTTCCACAACTTTTCGTGTCAGGAGCATTCTGATCTATTTGCACACATGTTTTGCCTTCCGAATCCATCTCGATTTTTCCAGCGCCACGTAAGATTAAACAGAATAAAAATATCTGGAGGTTTGTGTAGATTTATAATTGATTTTAGGTTGGAATTCATCATGGACTGATACCGGTTGAAAGAAAATTGGAAACCTGGGTAAACTAAACAGGTGTTTCGTCCTAGTAAGGGATTCCTCAGCCCTGAGCACCCATTACCTCACCTCACCAGGGATCGAACCCTGGACCTTCACTTTACGTGGTCAGCAAGTTGTCATTGAGTCACCTGGTCTGAGTACGAAGGACCACATTTCATACTTCTGCCAGTTCACAAAATAGTGCAGCCTGCATCAAGTGTCAGCGTTGAAAAATTGTCCTCATGTTCGACTTAGTTCACTTCGTGATGGATTCTAACCTAAAGTAAAAATATAGTTTACTCAACTGAACCATTTCAAGTATTTAAATTCTGAAACATGCTATATAGATTCTTAGTGGACAACAACTTCAAGAAAGAAACATTTCTTCCCATTCCGTTCCACACCAGTGACTATACACTAAAATAATTGACGTTTGAAATAAAATATGATATTGTACCGATTTAGTGGTAAAAAGAGTAGTACTCAGATGTTTATCGACGGCCAGTTAGTAGTCGGGGAAAGGAAGACAGTCGTTAAAGAATAAAACAGGTACAATGTAATTTATGAATGTTCAAACCTACTGTTGCATAAAAGATAGCCTATATGATAGTTAGTAAGAAGAAAAGAGAATCAACAATTAAATAGTGCGGTTTGCAACTGACTATAATCATGCAAAACTAAATAGAGATGACTAAAAGAAAGAGGCAACCAAGACAAATGATGACAACAGTTGCATCAGTTATTCGTTAAATTGTGTGAGAGATTTGGTTTGATAATAGCTAACACTGAATAAACGTCAAGGCCACAGCAGAACTCTAACCAACAGATTGGGGAAGGCTTCTGGAGTTAATTATCTCAGATTCCACAGCCATCCTATCAAGCAGTCGAAAATTTCCGGCAAAAGTGAACGAACAATTATGCAGTTATTTTAAATAAATAAGTTTTGTGCTAAATGATATGCACCACCTAAAGTTAGAAAAGTGTACAGCATCATCAAAATGACCTGAAATCCTATAGTCAACTTCAATATTCCAACCACTGTATCCACTCTCTCTCTTTCTTCAATCATTATTAATAAAAGATGTGTCTTGAAACTAACTCCATCAGCGGTGGCCAGTGGCATGCTCCATTCTCAGTAGATGTGGTCAGCAGGAAGCCAATATGTAGTTGTTATTTGACGGCATTTTCCAGAGTGTTAGACGGATGAATTTCAATCAGTGAAAAGTGCTGGAGACCCACTGGTGACCAACTCGTGTTGATTCCAAATCACTGTGGTCCAAAAGTTACCTGGCGGAAACAAACTTATCAATTAAATCTTTTTTATTTTGGTAAAGAAATTTAACGGTATACTTTAGCAGACATTCACTGAGTAGAGAGAGCAAGTTAACGAAATACGGCGGATAGGCAAATGCACACAAAAAAACATTAGTTATTGCTACTTGGCTTTAGACTGTATCTTTGATATACTTTTTAACTGTGTATATTTCTTTTCACGCTTTTCGTTATGACCGAAATACCTGTCGTTAAACTAGGGTCCCTTAGGAAAAGATACAGTATGGGAACCTTGTTGCTGTAACCCTTTGTGTAAATAATAGTGGTATCTGAAACACACCATGGATATAAATGCTAAGATTTGTTTGACTTTTGTACCAACTTATATGTGTACATCACGCCGATACTGTTGCAACATCAAAATAAAATAACAGCTCTCACTACAACCTTGATAGTGCATCTGCACAACCATGCTCAGAATGTACACACAGAACAGAGGAAACATGTCTGCAGAGCAAAAGCGAAGAGTTTGTGCGATTAATAAATACACTTTATTTTACCAAATGACATCAATACCCATATATAGAGTCACTCATGCCAATCTTAGTGGGACCCAAATCATACAGTAACTTTCAAAATTCACGCTATGAAACTTGTTTTACAGTATCATTATTATATAACAAATTAAAGTTGATCTCAAGAAAAACGTTGGTAGAATCTATTCATTTCACTGACAAAATAACCCAAGTGATAGAAAATGAGCCCATAAAAGGTGAAACAGGCAATCTTCCAATATTTTCTTTACCTTAAGTATTGTAAATTATGTGAAGTAATTCCTCCCATTATGTGTTATCTCAATTTTTGTTCCCTTTTATTTTCTTACCAGATGCTTGTGTATTTATCATGCCGTTAGCCAAACTTGAAGAGTTAGTGCTTATAATGCTATGTGGCTACTAAAGCCTCAGTACTGTCATGGTGGATAGTTTAAATAAACAAGTTTTTAGTATGTAGTCAACGCTGAAGCTTAACAAAAAGTTGTCTAACGTTATCCGATGCGTGATTTCTAATTATAATGCCCAGAGAATCTTCCTCCGAAATTGTCTATTTTTCTTACTCAACACCTATGTTGTTATGCGATACATAGAGACTTTCAATGCAGTCGTAAAAAAAGTGCTGCTGATCACTATGTAAGAGTATCATTCGCAAATATCTTGCAGTGCTGAACTTTGACAATCCCTATAACAAGTAGCTTGAATGTGACTGCTGAGAGGTTTATGAAAGATATAAATGGTGGATCAATTTAGATTTACAACTGCTTAAGTGATTTGAAATTAATGGATGTTCCGATTCATAAATATTTATGTATCACCAGATTTTTGTTGAAGCACGATTGGATGTTCTAATTTTATCAGAAACAAACATTTAAGATTTGATCGATTAGTTTCCTAATCACTCCCTGAAAAATTTGTATTTTCGTTTTGTTTGCGGGAAAGAATACTCGGTTGTCGTTAGCAGAGTGAATACATATGTATAAGAAGACATACTTGTGTGACTTTAACTATTGAGGTCAAACCGGTTAGTCGGTTTACTTTAGTTCAAATTGTCGTTTCACTGCAAATCAACAGGTTCAATCAACTATTGTAAAGAAACTCAAAGTTAATCAATAGACCTATAAACGGAATACGGTGTTATCATCTAACACAAGAAATGGTCAGAAAAGTGTGAAAAAATTAACGAAAGTATTTCAAATAGTAAGATTTTGTATCCAATAAAAGTAAGTAAATAAATGAAATACGAAAATAAAACACAAATAGAAATTTAGAATATTTGTTGTTTCAAATGGTTTCTCAGTTAACATCGGTTTCTGATACAAATTCTATTGCAATCGCATTTCGCTTTGATACAAAAAAGCGAGTCAAACAGTAAACGAGGAAGTCTTCTAAACGCCAAACATACATAAACGCGGATGACATATTGTCTTGTTCCGCATAGATTGAGTAAGGAGAATAGCTTTTCTTAGTTATGAGTTTATAGTGTTTTAAACATGCTTAATTTTTACTTGATATTTCCTTGAAGTTCAAGTATCAATACATTTTTAAGGAAATTTTGATGATGTCTATCAACAGCATCTGCTTACAACTAATAAACACAGAAAGTCACTACATTCCCAAAGTGAATTCACTCAACCCACTGCTAGACTTTTCATGTGTATTAGGATAATTGCTATGCTATTGTAGCTTTAATGCTATTTGGTGTTTGTGATTTGCCGTTTTTTGTAAGCCTTGGTAAGTGATAACGAATGTTTCTTTACCAAACTTGGTGACAATATGACAAAAAACAAATTTACGTACTTACTTACTTATAAAGAATTTGAAGATATATGGCGTGCATTAAAATTTTACAAGTAGAAGTCAGCAGAAAATAAAAACAAGGAATACCATACTCACTTCATAATACTGGAGGAGATCGCTTTACAAAATAAGTAACGTCTGAAGGAAACACATAACGTAGTATAACTTCCCCCACCCGTAAAGGGATCCACTTCAAGTATAGTCATGCTAAAGGTGCACAATTACCTCTATATTACCAATATCTAACTGCAGTTAATGAATGTGGAACGTAGCACAAAACATATATGAAACAGTGAAAAGTGAAGGACTGACTATATCACTGAATAAATAAAATATCGGTGCTTAATACTACGTGTATTTCAGCGATGATACCTTTAGGGTCAACAGTTTGTGTGTCAATTAACTGCATTAGTTTTACTATCATTTTTATAGCGTATTTCAATGTGAATAGGACTGCATGTTAACAAGTTTGAAAAGCCTCATTATTCTGGTCATAAATCAGATACACCACCGGTTTCTGATGAATTAGCCTTAGAAGTTAATATAACTCAGTTTGCGTGAAATATAGAATGGAAATATACCAAAATGTTGGAATACGTTTAGTCAAGGTAACTACTAAGGGAGTCAGATCTCTAATTCAAATGAAATTTAAAAAGTTTAGCGACACACTGAGACTATTTAATCCTAAGTACAGGTTCATATCTATTCACCAAATAATTAAATGTTATTGAAATTTCTGAAATCTCTGCTTCTTTGAAATAGAATGCTTCTTGGTAGCATTACTTAAATTAAGTTGTATTCTTTTATGAACTCACGAATAAGAGGCTCATGAAGTTCATCCCTTTCTGCGTTTTATTTTTTTCAGAATTTAATTAGTAACTGCTCAGTTTTCTTCATTTGGGAAACAGTTGATACAAAAATAACCGAAATTAGCTAAATTATATGATGAAAAAAATTTCACAAAAAAGGAAAAGAGTTGAACAATATTTGACATGATATTGAACTTAGAAATTCTTTGAATATACTAGAAATGAGAAAACAAAATCCAACCATGTATAAAGAAAAAACAAAAGGAATCCAAAAAACACAAAGTAAATTTGATGAATAAAAATATTGAAGAATAATGGAAACAAAGTGAAACAGACAACTTTCACAGTTATTAGACTCAGTAGATCTTAATTTTTCAGCATGATTCTGTCTAGTAAAAGGATAATATGAAAATGAAGATTAAGCATGAAAGTTATGTAGCGGAAATATAGGGTAATAGACAAATAATCAAGAGTAAAGTTATAGATAAATAAGTACATTGAGGAAGAAAGAAATTTCATGGGGTACCAGTGGACAGTATGACTAGGGAATAAAAATTTTAAAGGATAAGAAGAAGAATTTGTACAATAACATAAATGAACCGACTGATATACAAGTAAAAATGATACTTTTTCTAAATCTTTCTAGATATTAATGATAAAATGATGGTGCTTTATGATGGCTGCAAATGCTTTTTCAAATTAAAATTTCTGTAAAAGGTAAATATTATAATCCATAATCGACTAGCATAATCAGAGCAGGAGGAAAGTATGTAAGTTGGAGAACCAATCTAACAATAAGGATTGAAAATGAGAATGTTGTGGCGTAAGTTTAATACAAAAGTTGTTCACTTCATGTTAACAAGAGAAAAAACTCCAACAAATCATGTAAACCAATAAAATTAGAATGTGACCGATAGTTTCATGAGATAAATATAGAAACACTATCTGAAATTTGAGGAAAAAGAGGATTGCATATTTTAGTGTTGACCCCGTACACGCCATCGAAGGATATAATAACCGAGTATGCGTAACAAAATAAAAAATATACACAGTACACAGAAATCAATAGAAACATCATATTCTGGAATATTTAGTGCTTGAAATACCATTGCTGGTTTACCAAGACAGGGATAACTTATTCTGTTGGCTCGTTTACGTAGGCAATCAAGATCTGTACGATTATTTCCATAGATAATCTAGAATCAAAAAAAGGAAAGAAACATCCGTATGTAAGTTTGCGGAAAACACTTCACTATGGGAAAGAAGAGTGTAATAAACGGCCCTTCTCATGTTGAGCTTCAACAATATCATCATCGTATTTCAAATTTATAAAACTTTCCATTGAGCATTTACGTCATATTCTCCTCTTTCAAGTTGTTTTAAACATAGAGCTATGTCTTCTAAACGTGCCATGTACTGTTTTAAATTGTTTTCAGATAGCCGTTTCTCGAGTAGATAACAAAACGAAGAAAAAGTGTCACGTTGGATGGAAATAGACTTTTTGGTGTGCAAAAATTCATCATATATCTACTCTTCCGGATGTTAGATTGGAAGCTAATCTAACACTACCTGACTGTTTTACCTTATTGTCTTCAGTAGTGCTATTATTAACATAGCATAGTTGCAGTAATCATTTTGTCTGAATATATTGTTTTGGTAATGAACTTATTGAAGTGTTACGTGATGAGAATTCCATATTGTATAAAACATACTGTTTGGAGTAAAGCGATTATTATCATTATTAAATTCTCTACTTTTAAAGGTTTTACTGATGGTTTGAAAGTTAAAGTCACATCACTAGCAAGTAAGTCTCAGCGGGTGACTTGATATTTGCAGATTTGTGACATTATTTTTTTGTATTCTTCCTTAATAATCATTTTTTTTTATTTAATCTACACATATTTTATTTCTCATTCTCCTTGTTTGTAGAGCATGAAAGAGTTAGAAATGTCGATCATTTCTTCCTTTCAGTTTTGTTATGTACTCAAATTGTGGTACTCAACATTCATAAATTCTTAAAAGGAAAAATACGCTGGATGTAGTCGCACAACTTGTAGTTATTTCAAGTTGAGGGGAAGGCTATAGAAGGTAAACAGAGGAACTAGTTTGTTAAATAACTAGCCTTGAGCCACTTTTTTCTAACTAGTTAAAACAATTTTTTGTGTAATTTCAATCTTCTAAAAACTTCAACATATCCTAGAAAATCACACTGAGTCTAAAGAAATCTATGTCAGAATCTTCATCACGATCATATTGGCCAGCATCTAGTGGCTAATTCACCGAAAGTATTCCAAACAGTCTTGCAAATTACGTATTTGACAGTAAAAATACATATTCTGTGAGGAAATGCTGAGTGCAAACAAGCATTCTGATTGTGATGGAGTATTCTGTTCTGACTACAATCGACCATGGTGGTAGTCACCGAAATATTATTTGGACACCCCTCGTTATTCTTTATTTTAGTAACTTGTTTATTGGGGGAAGGGGGGGGTAAGGAAGAACGAGATAAACTGACAAATTTATTTTCAACTACTATATTGGGTAATACAGATAAGTCGGGTGACAACTATATCACCTGTACAAAAGTATGTTGCGTGTTGAATCCGTTTTCGTGAAAGGATCTTAGTATCCTAAGTAATAATATGCTTGCAGATCATGTGAAACAAATAAACATAGTGTATGTTTATATTGTACATCTGATATTACAGTCTAATCTCCCTAGGATAAAAATTACCAAAGATTTAAAAACACAATAAGAGACAACCTTCACAAATCTCACTTCCAGCTGATTTTCAAATCAAGAAAACCAACAAAAATGAAAACGTATTGAACAAGACAGAAATTAGTAGGATGTAAACAACAAATTTTCGAAAAGAATAAGAGCCGGACTATTGTGCTTCACTGTCATTAGTATAGGAACGTGTCTGTTGATGTTTTTCATCATTGCATTGAAAAACTCTGTTCAAATTGACAAAATATTTTGCACAGTATTCATACAAACAGGGGCTTCATGGATCGTTACCAAGCTCATACAGGAATCTTAGAAATCTACTCAAAGCTTTAAGACGCCTTGGTTTTCATTGAACATCTAAAAAGATTTTGACTTGCAAACACCACACATTTTTTAAAATTCCGGGAACACTAGTTTCTTCCTGAATGTTTCCCATCCAGGTAAACATGGTCAAAACTTTGTTCAACGAAATAAACTGCGCTTAGCTGAGCGACAATCATCCTAGTTACTACTTTTTGTAGGTAGAAAATTTCACGTGATACAAATTAAAATATACACAAATATGAGGTTTAATAATGAAATAATTAGCAATAACAGAAGAAAGTGAAATCCATTTACCTTGAGTGCACCCGAAAAAGAATAACGAGTGAATGATATATACGAAAGCCATTGTAAATACTTCGGTATAGAATATAAACTGAGAAAAAATCCAGAGAACAAAAGAATTGGAATACCAGTCACAGGCCCCAAAAATACAGCTACCTATATGGTTGAAATGAAAAGGGGGAAACGTTGGTTAGAATTTTTTCTCAAAATGAAATCTGAAGTAAATTCACGGAATTGGTCTCAGTTCGCTGATTTCACAATTTGTTGCTCAATAAAGAATATTTAAAATTTTATCAAAGAGCAAATGGAATATCACACTTAAATTCCCTAATGTCTAACTGTGTAACTTCTTTGTTATTGAGTAGTCACTAAAGGAAAAAACTATGTTCCCGGTAAGACTCAAACTTAAGGCATATTCCAATAAACGCTAGAATAATATCTACTCCGCGGTTCGGCCTTGACAGATGCCTCTTTAATAGAAAGAATTTGAAGTTTATTAAAGTCTGTAGGGTGAGTATAAAGCCTAGTTTTAGGTAAACCTTGTTTCGTTCTTGATGTTGAGGTCTCAGTCAATTTACTATTCCATCTCGTTCTTATCTGAAAAAAATGCGTGACTTTAAAGGCCACCCCAGCAACCACTGAAATAACCAATCAGACTACCCCATTTTATGAAAATTAGACAACACAGAAACCTGATTGGTTACTTTGATCGTTGCTAAGATGGCCTTTTAAGTCGTCCACATAATACTCTCTGCCCTTTCATTTTACCTAAATACCAAGCAATCAGCATGGAAAATGACGAGTATTAATCAACTAGTTGCTTATATACATATACATGTCTTATGAAAAATATTTTGAACCCAAATATATTTCACACGTCCGAAGAAGTAACATAAGATGCAATCGTTTCTTTTCACAACAGCAACTATTCTGGGAAGCTTTAAAGACCATCCTAGCAATAATCTAAATAACCAGTTAGGTTCCTTCATTTCGACTGGGAAGGCTAATTTTCATAAAATGGAGTAGTCTGATTGATTATTTAAGTTATTGCTGGTGCATCCTTTAAAGTCACTCTATTTTGTGAAAGCTTAAAAGTACGCATCAAGAGTGATCTATGTGCAGAAAATAGAGACCTTCATGTGACATGTTCGGCAGCAACAGAGGATACTATGCATTCTTCATCACTTCATTTCAGATCATCTTTATTTTGAAGCTGTAAACTATTCACTGTTTCAAATGTTTTGATAATTCTTAGATGATTACCATCCGCATATTATTTTCACGACCTTAACGAGAATTACGATTTCAAAAAATATGTTGATCCTCTTTTCAGTCGAATTTAAATACCAATTATATTTAAGTGCATTTGTTGAGATTTTGAGGTTGATGCTTTAGAAAAGAAAACTATTTTCTGAATACTTTATTTTAATATAACTGGACAGCGATTTGTAATCCATGCTTCTGAATTTTCCTACGGCAGAGAAACTGGTCTGTTTGAAATTTGGTCACAGTACAAATCTCCGATTACATTTTCCTGATCCTGAATACTGCATCTGCGTAAGAGTTAAGCTTGTCCACAACTATCTGAACAATGGGATAGTTCCATGGTCAAAACTTCCATTTTTCTTTTCGTATGCAGTTTATCATTGCTTTCCATATTCCTTAAGGAATTTCAAAATTCCTTGAAAGCTTTCACAGACAATCCCAGCAAGCTGAATAGTGACTGAAAACCATATTGTCGTACTAGTGAAGTTAGGATAAGTTAAATGTCATTGTAGAATGACATAGAAAATAACACGGCTGTTGAGAGCATGTGAATACCATTATGTTTTTATATCTGTTTCAACTTGACAATAAACTTTTTACCGTTTTGGAGCTTCTTTCTTTTGTGAGGAACCGAGTGGACTTCAAGGCTAAAGTTTAGTTTTATGTTCATATGGATGAAGCTTTCTGTTCCACTAACAATCCAAATGACAAATAACAATAAACAATTGCATCTTTTGTTATCATCCTTGAAAAACAACTTTGAAATATTCAAAACTGATGTACAATCTAAATCAGAGTAAATTCCTTCTTAATTTTTACATCATAGAAAACAAAATAAAATGAATTTAATGACTGTAACTAATGAAACATTTGCTTTATAAGTGTATCATGCATGATAGCAAAGTGATATAAAGTTCCATTCATCTGAAGAATAGTCTGTTTAGTGAACAGACCTTCGTGTCTAGTTTATTTTTACGTAATGCGGATGTGTTAATTTCCTCCTGAAAACCGTCACCTGAGGCTAACTTAAAGAATGATTTATTTCTTTGCATTATTTATTTCAGTTGTAGTTTACCTTTGTCTAATAGTAAATGTGTAGTAGTTGAAAAAGTTGTTAAATTTAAGGTAGCATCAAATTCTATTCTTGTACATGCTACAAGGATTAGGAGCTCTAATGATAAATTACTTTTTTTGAAAATCCCGAACTGTTATTAATTCGTATGGGATTTTTAATTCCGAAAAGATGGAATGATTTGTGCAGTCAAACACTGGTTTATACACTGGTTGAACACAGATATGAGCAAAGGAAATTGTACAGAAAACATGCATATGCAACTGGACTTCAAAGTCAGTTCTGACCATAAATTTGGGAAAATCAAGTTTCAAACAAAACAGTTTTCATGCAACAGTTGAGTGTATAACTATTTTACATCACTATGTTTGCTAAAAGGCTAAAAAACAAACATTTATAATGGACTGTCAAAAAGAAGAGACTTACCTAATGGAGATACCGACAACGTAAACGGAAGTTCTGCTATCAAATTAGTGTTCTATGCGTTTCATTAAACATGGTAGTTATAATTATCAGCAAGCTCTACAGTACCCTAATTACAACTGGACTTCGTCTTGTTAGTAAAACTCTAATTGTTTAGAATGAAATAGTAGTTTTTAACAGGTTTCAAAATACCTTTCATTCCCAAATTGATAGGTTTGGATAAAAGCCCTTCATTCATGACTCATCAATTATTTTTTTCTTTTTTACGGATTTCTCTATATCATTTCATTTTCAGCACATTCTGTCGTAGTAATAAGTCCATTACTGATCAATGTTTTCCTCACTTCTTGCTGGCTTTCCATAAATATTTTTTATTCGTCTTATGATGTATTGGAAATGTGATGCTTTTAAAACTTTATTTTCCGCCTAACGGCTTTTGTGAATTATCGACAAAAGATGAAAATAATTGCCACTAGAAAATATACTTGTTGTAAAATATTGTTTACCACTGATTTTCTCTATTTCATTTTACTGGTAAAAATAAGTTACCTTTGTTCAGTCTGTCCTTAAGTATTTAATGCGAAAGAGTCGTTTAAAATAATATACGTAGCAACTCCAGAAAAATAGTTAAGAATGAGTTCAGTTGTAAAACTGCTAAGTCAGCTGGTTCGTAAACCGAAGTGACACCTGTCTACATGTCGAGAAGCAATTCGGTTGAATTTTAGCCCAATGTTAAGATAGATTTTCCGTGTGATACTTAGCTTCTTAGTTAGTTATATAGCCACGAAGCTATTTCGTCTCAAATGATTACCAGTTACTCATCTGTCATGACACCCGTATTTATACGACGCATTTGGTGCCAACCACTCCGACGACAAACTTATTTATTTTTTACCAGCATAGTCAAACACCAGTTTAAGATGGATGGATGTAAAGGAAAAGATTGAATGTTAAAGATTTTAACTGACATTATCATGATGAAAGTATGAAATGGTAACCTACTGATACGTCAGTGATCAGGAAATAAACAGAGAGCTTTGTTAGATAAATTATAACTTCTTCAATAAATTGTAAAGTTGCAGAATACTTAGCAGTCCTTCCTTCTGGTAATTTAGGTAAATTTGCTCAAACTAAAAGTCATCCATAGGAGAAATCCAACTAAATGTAAACTAACAAAAAATCTAAGGAGGATAATTGCTTACCATTTCTCTTAAGTTTCAAGTAACGTAAAAACCAGACAGTAATACATTATAAGAAACGGATGACACTTAAAACAAGTTGGTCATGATTTGTAGTACGGTTGTTAATAGTGGACGAGTCCTAAAATTAGCTATGCAATCACAAGGAAACGCAAACGGGTACGAAGATATCCCGAATTCCAACTTTCAACTTTACAAGAGTAGAAAATTGTGAAGTAAAAACCAAACATATGGCGAAATTACTGACAATAAGGCTAATGAATTACATTATGATATTTATTTCATCCTTTGCATTATATTATACTACTACCACTGAAATCAAGGTATTTTTATCCGATTTTTTTAGTTGTATGCAGTCATTAACCAGGTTTATTTTATTAGGCTTTTTATTTGTGCTTTTAAAGTTGGTGTAATCGTTTAAAATAATAGCCACTGTTTGAACTGAAACCCCGTGCATCAAACACTAAAAATGTAGAGTTAATTTCTACAGCATACTGAAAAAAAATCCAAACTATTCAATTATTTTCAGGTATTGACATTTATTGAAACGAGCTGGTGTTCTCAAAACCATTGAATTTGCAACTGTTTGATTTATAGACCTTCTGGAAGACATGGCCATCAGTTGTGATAAATGAACTTTTGGTTTTTAAAAAGCAAGAGGCAAAATAGGCATGCCTTCAGCATGAGTCGCACAGGATTTACTAAATAATATTAAACTTCATATAAACAGATGGTAGTTTACTGGGAAAGTAAAAGAGGCATTTCATTGTTGCAACCTAATGATATTCGAAGACAAGTCTGACTATGTAATCATATTTAATAGCTTTACATTCCATTTTGTGGGTTTGAAAACTGCTCCACCTACCGATATTTGAGTAACCGGGTAGTAACATTACACCTCTGGAATAGGCGTGTCTAACTGCTTACTGCATGAATGCGCTCAAGGTTGCTGAGCAGATTTCGATTCGATTCTGTTTCATTTAGTTTTGTATAAACAGAAAACTGATTCTAACAATCAGGTGCATAGTTGTGAAGTAAATTTGGTGCAAAATGGTCAAAAAAATCAGCTACTATAATGTGTCTGGATTACTTTTTATTCTGAGGTGTTTCAAAGAGAGTTCATACTGAAATACCTTCCTGACTGACTGGCATACTGTAAGCCGATATTTATTGTTTAGTTGCTCTTTAACGACTGT